GGGGTTTCAAAATGGCTTCCCTTTACTTGGGGGAAACTTTTCGGGGCCCACCTGAATAGATAGGTTTGTGGGGGGGGGGGTCTCGAACAAACCCTCGAATAGATCGCCGGGGTTTGTGGGACACTCGAATAGATCGGCGGGTTTGTGGGACACTCAGAACTGTAGTATCGGCAGAGTGGTTTTTGTGGGACACTCAGGCATTTAGGATGCGTGCGGGAAGCGGATGTTTGTGTAGAGGATATTCGCTTATGATCGGCGGGTGTTTGTGGGACACTGAATAGTCGGACGTGGGTAGTTTGGCAGATTTGTTCATTGACGTATGTGACACACAGAACACGATCGGAGAGACAGGTTTTGCGTGGGGGCTGCCCGGTGGTGTCCGATTAGATCGGAGGGTTTGTGTGGGGCCCGAAACAGATCGGGGGTTAGGAAATCCAACCGAATATATACAGCAGGTTTTGGCACAACAAATGGCGTCCTGTCTGTGTGCATTTAGTTTTCCACTCCATTTTTCAGCAAACTCACCCAAAAATTTTCATTCCTCATTTTTTTCACTGTTATTCCAATGTGTTAAAATCCTGTTTGTTGCAATTTTTATTTAAAGTAAGACAAGCCGCGGGCAAAATCAATAAAATGCACGAAAGGGCTAGGGGTCTCTCGAGGGGACGGGGAAAGGAAGATGAGGCGTAAAGCTTAATAAAATATTTATTAGACTCCGAATCTGTTCGATGACTAAAAAACAAAATTCATTTCAGAGGCATTATGTGGCCCCAGCGAAACACGTGCATCCGACATAAGCCCCCCCCGGCCCGGAAGCCCTTCGGGGCAAGGTCAGGGCCATTGACCTATTTCATTTAAGCAAAAAACATATTCGGCAGAAGTGCTCCAAATCTCTTGAATTCAAAGAAACATGTGAAAAAATTGGAAAATGTGGGAAAGATGAAAAAGTGTGGCGTGGGTAGGACCTTTGAGCACAAATCTATGTCACCGCAGGTGTCAATTGTCTATCAATCAGGGTGTCACTCTGTCGTCTTTTGTCGTCTACTGAGCAATGTCTGTTGCAGCAGCTACTCGTCGCACAAAGCGTGCTCGTGTGAATGCAGCAGCAGGGTGCTCCAGTGGGAATGGTTCAGCCTGGATCGGGCATGGGCATGGGCATGCCGATGATGGGGCCTCAGCACATGATGGGCATGGGTGGTTCTCAGCAGATGATGGGCATGGGCAATGCTCCAAACCACATGATGGGCATGGGCAACGCTCCAAACCAAATGATGGGCATGGGCAACGCTCCACACCAGATGATTGGCATGGGCAACGCTCCAAACCAGATGATGGGCATGGGCAACTCTCCAAACCAGATGGGCATGGGCATGGGCATGGCTGCGCAGAACCTTCACCATTGCACACAGCACATGGTTGCCAATGGGGTGCATCTGCCTTCTGAGGACGAAAATGACGATGAGCTTGATGAAGAAGAAACAGGACGGGGGTGTGGAACCATGGCTAATTACATTGTTGCCCCTAAATACTAAACTAACTAAAATAGCCTGTTTGCACTGGCACCTATTGGGAAAAAATCAAACCCATCACTCATTGAATCACATTGACAAATCCCTGAGGTCAGCCAGATCCGGAAGATGTTCATGCTGTCGCCACCCCACAGAATTCCATGAACCGCCATCTGACTGCTCAACCTCCAGCACTTACTGGTACTGCAGCTGTCTTCGATGATCCGGGCTTTGCATTGGATGACAAGTTCATTGGCAGAGGATGCACTTGCGTTCGGCAGGTGCCACGAAACAGGTTGTCCGAGTGCCGGGAGTACTTGAACAAAAGGATGGAGAGTGGGTACACAGCGGAGTGTTCCACAAACGGCCTCCTTTGCCTGCTATGGATCTTCACAAGGATCAAACCCAGTGTCCGAATCTGTGACCTAAGTGACCCAGCTCAACGTTTATTGACCATGCTTCTTTATCCGGGATTCAAGTCTGGTGGGGAGGGTCGATCTATATAATCTGGTTTGATCTGATCATTAATTTTCATGAATTGGTTTCTTCCCAGGGTCTTGTGTTCAATCCAGCCCAAAATTTGATAGATTGAGATAGGTCGGGAAAGTGTTTAACAGTTCCTCTGGGTATAAATAAGTTGTTTGTCTTTGGAAATTAATATGGTTTCTTCACATACCTCTGCCCGCCCAGGGGCTGCCCGGTACTCGGAGTTCAATGAGAAGATGCTGAACCGCCACAAGATGACACTGGTCGTCAATGACATGAGCAACTGCAACACACTCATTAAGTTTGACATAAATGTGACATGATTTGCCATACTAACTTCACTTAGCAGTATAATGTTGGCATGAGTGAAAAATGACTGACACTGACACACGACATGACATGAATGATGCTTCTTGCACATTGGGACTGACAAGTAACCAACTGTTGACAAAAATGCATAGACGGACAGTCATTGCATTCATTGGCAGTTGCTTGGAATGTGAGGATTGTGAGTGGTCTTGGTCCTCAGACTTTCCATGTTGGAGACAGTGCGCGAACAAAACGGAGATGGATTGTCCTTACCGATGTGTGCCCTTGAACCTGAGTGTCTTGGATGAAGTTATAAAAAAAAAACTTGGACTGACAAACATTTCTTGAGTGAGTGAGAGCAAGTTTTGAAATCTGCTTTTCCTCACGCCGCAAACCACTTATAACTAAGGATTCCTGTGGGCGATGTCGCTGGGAGCATGGCTCCTGTCGCTGATGATGCTCCTCGTGGTGGGGAAGGTCCTGGTGATGTGGCTTCGGGGCCTGTTGGCCGTGCTGATTCTGATTCCCCACCTGCTGATGCCATTGGTGAAGCTCGAGCCGAGATTGAATCTTTTGATGGCGCCGCTGAGGGCGACATGGACTGAGTGATTTCTTTGGGTGCCTCCTTTGCCTTGTTAGCCATGTCTGAATTGAAAGGTCACTGGTTTGAAAACATAGTTACTTAGCTGGACTGGAACTAAATTTATTCAAGCTGTTTTGCTGACAGCAACAATGCAATCATGAGGTGCTGGGGCGACATGTGCTGCCATGGGCTGTTAGACAAGCTCTGCCAATGGTTTCTTCAACTTGTCAACCAAATGAAATGGCGTATCCGTCAAGCCAAAGTAATCAACGATGACATGATGAGCTTGTCAGCCACACATGGCAGTATTCTCTAGGGTGTGTGCTTTTATCAATTTATCAATGGTCTGTTCTTTGTGGCCTTGCTGTAGTGGTGGACTGGCCTAACAAAGTGAAGTCCTCAAATACCAATACCAACATGGTTATTCCAATGCCAACATGATTATTTTTGGAAAACCGTCATATGATATGTCAGTCAGTCTTCGTGACCACTCTGTGCTGCAGGGCAATAAGATTTGGCTTTCGGCCCCATTGATATTTTTGGCAATCCATAATTTCCACTCGCTATGTGGAGTTTGGGGGGCTGGCGAAGTATGCTTCAAGAACCTGCTGGCAATTTGATGACGACGACTAACCCAGTTCACAAAGTCCGACTGGGATGTCTTAGAGAGCATCCATCACGTCAGTGATGACGTCAATGCGAAGTGACAAAAAGTCGGTGGCTGAGGTGTTCCCATGCCAATGCCGAGCACCAGCCATGGAACCTCATAATTCCGAAAAAAAAAGGTTAGGTTCAACATGTTCTTGCTGTTCGGTCTATTGAGTCAAGTAACCCCTCAGTCACTCAACTGTTTTTCAACTGTTTTTTCACATCGTTTTGTTGCTGGAACCTGCCTGCAGGTCACATGCTGCAGACTCGGCGTCTGGTGGCCCAGTGAGTCAGGAAGTGTTATGTTAATGGTCACACTTTGCAGTGTCGTTGTCATGTTAATTCGTTCATGGCCTGGCTCAAATAGTCAATGTCATGTCATTTGTTATCAGCTGCCAGTCATGTTGTCAGCATGCCTCAGAAACAATCAAGCAACTCTATGACCGCCACTTCTGTCATGTTCACTTTAAGGTAGTGCCAGCAGGGCATTTCAACTCAACCAACGTCATGTTAGTCAAGCGCCAACTCTAGTGGGGCGGCATGGCAAGCACAATCACAAAGTGATGCAGCATGCCTTGCATTTTCGTGCTGACCTTGCCCCGCTGTACGTGGAGGAGGTAGCAGACAGTCTGCCCACATGCGTGTGTTACCATGTGGAGTCGCTGGGAAAATATTTTTGGTCATTGGGCTACTTTCTTGACTCGATGATCCAGGCACTTGAGAGTGAGGACAATGCCAGCCCAACTAGTCAGCCTGAGCCCAACAAGTTCCCCAATTCAGTCCAGAGTCGGCTTGACCAAGCAGATGCGAAGGAACTGCTCGGAGACAATTCTCTTCACATGAAGCCGTCGAACCCGAGGTATCTTCGAATTCAAAAACAACATGGTGTTTTCAAAAATGTTGTTTGATTTGAAATTTTGTTTCCCACAGGTCAGGTTTTCTTGTTACAACCCCATGTCATTCCACTATTATTCCATGATTATTCCATCATTATCATCCCATGACTATCCCATGATTATCCCACTTTTTCCCTTCATCCCATAATATGTTGTGTTCTTAGCCCCCGCAATGGTTTCCGCAATCTTGCCAATCTTTGCCAGGTTGGAGCAATTGGATGCGTCTGTTGTAAGCACCTGTGGTCTGATGTACTATCTCTTTGACCTTGCTGAGACTGCCGGTCTTGAAGCCAAGTCAAGCTTTGCACTGAGTCATCTGGAAAAAATGTGCTCTGATTGCCGTGGGCAGGTTGAACAATGACGGTGGTGGCTTTTGCTATCTCACTGAGCCCCGCCGACTGCAGATTCAAGGGTCTGGTGTGGTCAATTTGAGGGGATTCATGCACGAAGACGATGATACACATGGCAATGTGCTGGTGGCATTTTCAAAGCTTTGGGCTGACATGAAAACGGCAATTGATGCTGCTTCTTTCATGGACTGCAGGGACATTGGACATGTTGGTTGCACAGCGCAAGGTGCAGCGCATTGCTGCATATGCACAACTCGAAGCAATCAACAACCAGTTGAAACATTTGTCAGATGGGAAAATGATCATCGCCAGCTTTGACTTTGGAAAGAGTGGCCTTGTCAAGGCTATGCAACCTTTGACGCCGAGCCAGCTGAGAGTTGTGACCAGGGATAACAACTCAGCCATAGAAAACGTGTTTGTGCAAAACAAAGTCACTGGTGACTCCGTGAAAATCGATCTTACTGGTATCGACGATCTTCGGGTTTTGACGCTGGGCATGGACAAAGGAACCAGTGGCATGGCAATTGCTTCATTCCTGAGTGGCACCAACACCGAGTCCTGCCATACCGTTAGCTTCTCTTGGGACCCTTACCGCAGATGTGCCCGTGACATGAAACTTTCAATGAACATGAAAGTTCTGTGCCACATTGACCAGAGAAGCCGTGTCAAAACCAACTTGCAGCGGGCTCAGTTGGCATCATCCTCATTTTTGTGGAGTATCAACTACACGCCTTTTGGAAGCGCCGGCTTTTCTCAGAGTAAGATGGAGCTGCTTGAAGGGTTCCTGGCCCTACAAGATGAGGAGTGCTGGTCGGGTGGGCGTAGGTCTCCTGTAATCGTTCATCAGTCTTGTGGGCCCAAGTTTCTTTAAATAGCCATCACTGATGCAAAAAGTCAAAATAAGTTAGAACTGTTTGTATATCACATATCTCTTTAAAAACATATGAGTGTGTAATGTACTAATGACTGGCTGTTTCTTTCTTTATCTTATGTGACTGACTTGACTTGGTTCACCCATTCACAGCTCCAGGAGACAACAATCTTCCAGGCGTATTCGGAGCTAATTGGCCTATTGATGACTTGGCTCATGTGATTCAATCCTTGGTGGATCGACTGAGATCAACTCACAACAAGCTGGCGCCTGTGAAAACAAGCCGGTGGTTTTTCTTGGCACCAGTGTTGTTCCGACCAATTGGAAGAATGGTGGAGTTTGAGGATGCTCTTGGAGCATGAGTTTCCACATGAGCCATCTGTTGACAAATCTGACAAGTCTTGGGCTAGGCTGCGGAGCGAAAGCGGTGGTATCAAGCTTGCTCTTCATTGTTTGTCTTGGACCTTGGAGGACATGGCTTTCGGTGAACGTTCTTTGGCTTGGAGGGAGGCCATTGTGGAGCTGGTATGCAGATTTGGTGAAAAAAGTGAAGTCGCCTGCCCAGGGTTTGGCACGAACCATATCACTGGCCCAGGGCTGGCTTGGTGACAAACAGTTCAAATATCTGATTCTCGTCTTGTCGACGACCAACTTTTCAAAGATTGGTTTTTATCTGGAGATGTCACTTCAACACGTGGAGGAGGATTCAACTTGCAACATGGACTCCTTTGTTGAAGAGCTATTCTTCTACATTTTGAGTCTTCCTGACAAAAGGGCCAGCAGCTTGAGCAAAATGAACTTGCCACCAGACGTCTATGCTGGCTTGCTTTCAGACAATGAAGATGTTGCCCAGCCGTCATTGGATCTTTTGCTTTCTGATTGGAAAAGTCTGGTCATTATCGAGCAAACCCAATGTAACCAAACACTGGCTGGTGACATGAGAGTGTCAGTTCCTCTAGTGATGCGCTTGGTTTTTCAGCTGAGTGAACGAGGCGATCATGTCAGGGCCAAAAAACTCCTCAGATCGCTTGTCCATGTGCTTCCGGACACCAAACTCATTGAGGATATACATGGGCGGGTGAGAAATGACGCCCGGATGAACATCAACAAAAAACAGAGCAACTTCCAGATCCAACAAGTCATCAATGGCAGTGCTGCACTGGAAAGTCGAGGTGTAGACCATCCTGCTGCCCTCAACAAGGATGTGTTTAGACGCCAGTGGAAAAGGACAAATGGCAAAGGCAAGGCAAAAGCTTGCTTCATCCCCAGATCCTCCAAGCTTCCGAAGGTCTACAGCCAGCTGCTTGGCCCGATGAGGTGGGGCACAGTCAGCGAGGAGTCCCTCCACAGGTCTGCTGCTGCTTGGCAGCTGGTGCGGCACTTTGCCAAAAACCAGTTGGAGAGGAGACAGATCAAACTCTCTGAATCTTGGCCCTGATTTAAAACTGTTTGTTCGACCCGACTAACTTTTTTTGTCGGCTTGAAATTAGACAGAAGTCGTGGTTACTATATATTGAAGACTGTTCAGATCCAACGGTTCTTGTATCAGGATGCTCGGCTAGCTGTGATCTTGCGGCCTGGAATGGTTTTCCGCCGGTGTATGAACCTCACTGCTGGTGGAGACAGTGACGACAATGACGACAATGACTCGATCTTGCTTTGTGTTGCAAACTTGGATTGGGCAGTTCTGGCTTGGCTGTTGGTTGGTCGGGATGATGGAAAATTGCAGCTTGATGTCAATGGACAGCTGGAGTGGCATTTTGTGTTCCGACTGGATCAGTGGGAAGCTGGCCTTGCGGAGCCACTACTTGATTCGGAGCAAATTGTCATAAAAGAGGCTGACTTTCAACCTGTGGTGATGTGCTGTCTTGGCTGCTACTCGTCAGGCCTTGTCTTCCGTGAGCTGGTGACAGTGGCTACATTCCTTGGGATCAAGAAACCAACGTCAATGTCAAGAAATGACCTGCTCCGTACAATAGCACTTAGTGCATCTGGTGGCAATGCAGACTTTGCTGAGTCAGTGGTTGCCAACGAAAAAAGAGGCAGAAGCGAAAGCAAGACATTGAGGAGCAGGGCGCGCAAGATGAGGAGTTTGCTGAAATTTTGCTTGAAAACATGGACAAGGAAGATGCCGTTGAATTCCAAAAGGACATGAAGATCGGCAACATGAACAAGATGGCTCGCAAAAAGAAATGGCAGCAAATGAGGCAAGATGGCATTGACGCATCTTGCATCAATTTCAATCGACATCTTAAGTTTGCAACAAGTTTTTGCCGTTCAGTCCATGGCAGTAGGAGCTCTTTGGACGCCTTGTAGGACCTTTGTAGGACCTCTACGGCCCCTTGTAGGACCTCTACGGACCCCGTTGAAGACCTCTACGGCCCCTTTTAGGACCTCTAAGTCTAGTCTAATAATGGGCATCCTGCAGCTCCCACTCACACTTTTGAAACACTTGGTTCATCTAAGGCAATTGAGAAGAAAAAAAGGCGAAAAAGCTCAGAGCAGAGACCAAGTTCAACAGAGGAAGAGGTCGAGGCAGAAAAGGCAAAGGGAAAGGCAAAGGCGGTAGAGGCCGTGGAAAGGGCCGAGGGAAAGCCAAACAGAAAGCCGAAGTCATTGATGACGATGATCAAGAACCCTCTGCAGTTCGAAGGAGGTTGAGTTTTTCCACTGTGGATGCAGGGCACAATGAGCACACTGTGGAAGTGCCAGCCGTTGACCCAGTGGAACTTGATGCCTCCACAGCTGCAGGCAATTTGGAAAATTTATTTGGTGACACAGGAGAGGCGACAGTGCCCAGATTCTGCGGGACCGGCAGTGGCGGCAGGAGATGATGATGCCGAACCACCACCTTCAACGGGTGGCAACGCTGCTCCCAGTGCTGAGATGGAACCAGCGGGGTCTTCATGCGGCGGTGCTGCTTCCAGCACTGACATGGAGACCCATTGTCCAAAGTCTGATGTAACTGATGTAGCTGCCACTGATGAATTGGAATCGAGGCTGGTGGTGCAACAAAGCCTTGACATTGACAATGGCTTGCATTCGGCACCATCGTCGTCATCACTGGCTGGCCCTGTGCCCAGCTCAGGTTCTTTGCATGATTTGTCAGTAGATGCTCTTCCTGCTGAACCAAGCACTTCTGTGGTGAGGGGCCCCAATGTCCATCACACGCCACCAATCTTGGCATCAATTTCACCACCTGGGTGCAACATTCTTCTCTACTGTTGCTTAGCCTAATAAAGTCAATTTTGTTTGGGCTGAACTTGTGTGACAACATTTGGACTGCTGGACTGATTGTTGAGGATTTTGAGACCACCCGCTAAAGTCAGAAATGTTCTCGCCCGTCAAGCCAGGCAACGATCACCGTTGGGTGGCCTCATTTTCTGGAGCCCAAAGACTGAGAAGCAGTTCCAAATCTTTCCAGAAGGAGTCGCAGGAAAACTGGTCACATGCGCTGAAGGCTGTGCACAAAACTGCATGGAATAGGTGGACACAATATTCAAAGGACAGAAGTATCCCAACTCAGTCTGTCTGTTTTAGCAGCTTTTTGAACTGTCAGATGTTTCCCCTTTCTGTTTCGCATGATGGGCAGAAATAGTAATGTAGTAATGAGTTCCAACTCCAAGGTGAATATTCTTTGCCACCTGATCAAGTTCAAGTCCCTGGTGATGTTTCAGACTCTGTGATCGAATCCTTGAAGTCGGACGTTGAATCGTTGCCGCACAAGAAGAGCTACGGCAAGAAGCAGAAAGCTGAGGGTAAAGCTGAGCCTCAAAAGGACGAAAAAAAGAATTCAAAAAAAAAGAAGGACAAAAAGTCCAAGAAGGAGAAAAATAAAAAAACACTCAAGTGAGTGAATGAAGGTTCACTCTGGTTTTGGTCTGGGGATCCCACCTGCAATGCGTGCGGCTACTTACAAAAAAAATGTGCAGTCAGTTGTGATGTCCAATCGACTGTCGTCATTGTTTGAATCGACTGTCAATGAGTCAACTGTCGTCATTGCTTGCACTTAGTCCATCAGCTAAAGCGCCTTTCTTGATTGACTGACATTCATTCATGTGACATTACAAGGTCGATTGTGTTTTCCAGTCGGATGAAGACATGCATTCAGTCATTCACTCATTAGTGTGTCCGTGCAAGTTCAAGTTGACTACTCTGACATCTCAGCGCACAGTTTGCTCAAATTGTAAGACACGAGACTGACAGCCTGACACTCATGTGGTAGCTCCACAAGTCAGCCATTGACTGACTCGACATTTGACATATTACAGTTGACTGGCGTGACTGGTGCAAGAAAGTTTGAAATTTGAATAGGGTCATTTTAAGCATCCAATCCGTTGAGCATTGCAGCCATGGTTTTCAATCCGTTCCTGGGAATGATGATTCCCTTGACCATGATGGTGGCACCCTGCAACCCCACCAGAGTTGTGAAGATCCACAAGAAGCAGAAGAAGCGCAAGCAACGTCGGCCGTCTACAAGTGTCACTGACCAAAGTCAGATTGCTGATGCTGTTGATAGTGACAACCTGGCCTTTCCTACAGAACCTGGTGATGGATTCCCTGGTGCTGCTGCGGCTCCTCCTGCAGACAGCCAACGAGATGAATCAGTGGCAGTGGATTCAATTGACCCTGAGGTTCTCTTGAAGCGCAAAGAAGCCTGCCATCGCAAGCTGATGGATTTTGTTGAATGGTCCTCATTTCCTTTGACATCGTACCCTGGGAGTGATTAAACCATAGTAGTGATTTTCGTTTTCAATGATCAACAAATCCGAAATAGGTTCTTGAGTTCTTTTTTCCCTAAGAAGTATTTTCACTCTTTCCATTTTGTTCGTGTCAGTGGGCTGGAGTTGAGGTGGGTGATGCCTGCTGATGTCTATGTCGCTGACATCGTTTTCTTTGAGGCAATGATCAAGCGATTCCTGGCTATGGACGCTGAATTGCATGGTGGACACGCAGCCCTGGTTTGGCCTTTGATTTTGTCATTGTCCTACAAGTTCTTGGCTGGGAAGAATCTTTGCGAGTCACTTCTCATACTGATCCTGCGAGGGCGGCGCAACCAGATGAGGTCAGGTGTCCAGGATTTTATGGAGGTCTTTGCAGGATGTGCAAAGCTTTCTCTAGAGATGTTGATGGCAAACTTCCACGGGCCTGCGTTTGACATTGATTTGGGGAAGACCAGGATGCTTTATCGAGCCGCGGCTTGCGGCTGCTGATTGACAGTTTGAGTTGCCTCAAGTATGCTGGACTTGTCTGGATAGCGACGAAATGTTCGTCGTTTGTGGTGCTCTGCAGATGCCAAAGTCAGCGGACGTCAGCCAATCAATTTCTTGGCGATGTGACTCGTGCTTTCGTGCGCAATGGGAATGGGCTAATGGAAGTTTCAGCACTGCTGTATCTTTTAGCATTTCTACTTGGATTGTGGCCGGTGATCGAACAACCCACCTCGAGTGTTCTGCCTGACTGCTTGGCTATGAAAGTTGTGCTCCAATTCACACGATCCGTCAAATGCCAAACATACATGGGATCATATGGCGGCCCTAGCCAGAAGCCCCTTCAGTTGTGGAGTCCTTTCAATCGCATTTCCGTGCTGGAACGCCGACGCCCAGTAGACATGATGAGTGAACCTTTGGTGAGGCGGCATGGAGATCAATTCACTGGTCACAAGGGCCGGCTGACGGAAAGCCAAGAGTATACCCGTGCTTTTGGCCGTGCTGTCTTGGAGATGTGCAAAGTTGAGTGGGAGGACGAGCCAGTTTAAATCGTCATTTGTTGTCTCATGTAGTCTGAGCGTTGGGAAACACTGCGCAGCCACTAGCTGACTTGACAGTTTGTAATTCGAAGCGGTCACTAGCTGACTAATCAACGTGACAATTTGTAATTTGAAGCGGAAAAACCACATCGGCTTGACTTGCCTTTGCCCGCAAACTCACTCACAACTGACTGACAGATGATGGCATGCGATGTGCAGATGTCAAATGCACAATTTCCACTTTTCGTTTGAATGACTGACAATGACAGTACAAATGACGGTTGACAACATGACTCTCTGAGGTGCAAGATCAATTCGAGTGTTTGCCTCAGCGACTTTGCTGTTATAGGCGATTGTATCCAGCTGTCATTTGAAATTGTGTTTCTTGATTGAACCTGACTCAACTTTGTGTATCTTCTGTTAGCTTGGATTCTTGGCCCAGGTTTCTTCACAGCTCGCTGTATACTTGGCGGCACACTCTGATGTCAGTACATCGGTGGTTCTATGTTTGTTGGCTTATAGTTGACAGGTAAAATCATCTTGGCGTCCTTCCTTCGTCCATGTTTGACGTCTTCTGCGTCATCACCT